AATAATAATATTTAATTAATTAAAAATATAAACATATTTATCATTACTTATTTTATTATTAATAATATGAATAAAATAAATAATAATTATGTGTATTAAAACTATTATTAGTTACAGTAAACAAACATTTTTACAATATTAATTATTATAATAATTAATAAAATATAATAATCAAATTGGTGTGATTTGTATTATTTATTATTATAATTAATAAAAAAGTAAATAATAATAAGAATTTTAATATTATTAATATAATTAATAAGAAGATAATATTAATAATTATAATTATATTATTTTATTTTCAATACTATTATTATTATTATGAATATCTTTAATAATAATAATTATTGGTTTTAAAAATAATATAAAATTAATTATTATTCTTTATTATATCATTAATAATATAAAAAGTAGTATTATTAATTATACTAATTATTATTACTTTTTCATTCTAATTATCTAATATAATAATTTTTTAAAACTTTGTCCATTTTGTAAATTTATGAAAATATTACACCATTTGCGTGATAAACTAAAATGTCTTATTTAACAAAGATGTGTTTACAAATCCACGTTATTATAAAATATGTGTTTGTTAATTTCCAACTCCAAATTAATTCTTCATTTTTCATTTTAAAAATCGTTTTTATTTTTATGATTCAAATTTAATTTTGATATATATTTTTTGTAACATCAATTTTAATATTAATATTTTCTTTTTTTAAGCCGATTTTGATATTAATATATATTTTTTACTCATAAGTTCTACGTAATTTAAGAATAAAAAATAATAACTTATATAAATATATATATTTATAGATAAATTAAAAATGTATAATTCATGAGAATTTAAAATAAAAAATATCTTGAATAATCTAATTAATTATAATAATTTTATCAGAATAAACTTCATGTCGTGTATTAGTCCATTTCTGTATTTTTTTTATAAATTCAGTATCATTTTTATTATTTTAATTGATGAGTATAAATTTTTAATTTTTATTTTATACATATATTTTTATAATCGATTTCCATATATATATTTTTTAATGTCGTCGTGAATTCGATTTTAACAAGTGACATTGGAAAGATTTTCACTTAAAACCCTCTCACTTTCTTTTTACTAAATGAACCCCTGTAGCTTTTAAATAAAACAACATCTCTTTGTATTCAGAAAAATCTTTAAATTAATTTAACATCCAAAATCCGTCAAATTGGCCCAATCCATTGGTTAACTACTATTAGGAAGCCGTTTTTTGGGCCTTTTGCTTTTCTTAATCTCTTTATTTTTCTTCTTACACCCATCATTAAAGTATAATGACAAATATAACCTTTAAAATCAATATTTATTTTTTAAAGTGTTTTTGGAAATGTATTAACAATATTTCAAATTACAAAGTTATAAAATATTTTTGAAAAATATATTTCAGAATGAAAATCATAAAATATATTTCAAAAAAAATCAATGTCACTTTTTTACAATTCTAATCTATTTTATACTTTCTAAAGTATAAACAGAAAGACATATTTAAATAATTTATTCACTATTAAGTTATTTTGTGACTAATATTAAAAAGTCATTAAATCATTAAAACTGTGAATAAAACATTAAAATTTAATCAAATGAATTTTGGATTTAGAATAAATACAAAACAGAACCTCTAAAAATAGACTTTAAATCATGCTAACAAATATTTGAATATGATAAAGGATAACCCAGATGGAAGAAAATAAATGCTTATTTTTTAAAATTCATTATTTTTGTTCTCTATCAATATAATTAGGTTGTAAACACCTATTTGTCTTAATAACAATTAAGAAAAATCAAATAATAATAAGAATAATATGTTTCCTATTTTATTTTTCCTCTTATTTCAAATATAAAGCAAAATTGTTCATTGAGATTTTGCTTTGAACTTAAGCAAAACTGTGAGCATCTTTGACCTGTCTAAAGCTTGTTATACAAGACTGATAAAGACCCTACAAAATGGTATCCACAAATTGGTGTGATAAGTTACCATTCATGATCTGAAATTTGGTCCCATTTTTCTTTTTAGATAAAAGGGGCATCATAATTTCACTAAACCAAACCACCCATTTCATCAAATAATGTACATGTTTGGCACACAACTGGCATCAACTTGGTAAACTTTAGCCAACCTCATGATGTTTGTGTAATACAATGGAACCAATAATGATTCTAAAGTATCTTCCTTTCATCATTCATTTTCCATTCATATTGACATTTGTGAATATAACTTGAGTTTTAGATATATAATATACATTTTTTTTTTCTATAAGTGGCAATTGATCATTCTTTAAAGTTTAAATTGAATTGAAATGAAATGAAAGCACACCAGATGAAATGAAATCTCACCCTTGACAGTTCATAAAATAACATGCTTTTAGAAATCTTAAATGTCTTCACTTTTCTTCAATGTTTCTTCTGTCCTCTACTCACACGTGTGGATGCTCAGAAGCTCACATGATAATTTGTTTACGTTTGAAAACATTTTATAATATTTATTAAATATTTGTATTTCAATTTAATTGAAATATATTTTCTAAAGTATAAAATATAATTTTTAAAATATAATTTCTTAAATTGATTTTATATAAAAATATCATTTTTTTAAATAAAACTTAATTTACTAGAACATAAAATACTATTTTAAAAAAGTATTTTTTTTATAAATCCCTTTCTAATTTTCTTCATCACACCTAACTTCTAAGAGAGAAATAGTTAGTTGACTTTTTTTTATTATTATTTCAAATAAAAAAAAAGTGTTTGTGACAGTTACAACCTTAATTTATGTTTTATAAATCATAAGAAAAATGTTATTCAATTCAAAGTGCATAAACTGACCTGTTTACATATTAAAAAAATTTAAATTTGTATGAATAAAAATGTTTTTACTATTTTCTATTTTTAAAAATAGAAAAAAGTAAAAAAAAAATGACATTTTAATAACTAAAATAATCTTCATAACATATTTTCCATGTGCTTCATTCGTCATATACTTATTTTGGTTTACTTGTTTCATTTTTATCTTTAACATTTTGAAAATTAAAAATAATTTGAACCCAAGAATAATGATTCAAGTGTATGAACCGAGATAAAAATGATTAAAATATCACACGTGGGTAAAACAACAAATTAATTCATTTTATCAATTCAAATCATGATTATATATTTAGGTACTCATCATGAAAATGTACTCAATTTTTATAATAGAATCAGCATTAGATTATTCTAAGATAATTGTCAACGTAAATATGGTTTAAAATTCAAGATTTTATGAATCTTATTTAATTTTAAAGAAATTACTAAGGAAATTTATAGAAATAAATTTAAGGAGATGAATGGAAGAAAAGGATGGAAATAAATTTATAAATCTAAATTTTCATATAAAATTTATTGAAAATAATAAATTATTTCTAAAATGTTGATTTAAATATAGAAGTAAAGAGATTCACCATTTTCAAATATAGCATTTAGTATTAAATAAAAATAAAATGACAAAACTACCACTCCATGTAACATTTAAATCATAAGTTTATTATTCCACTAGGAATAATCTATTTCACACACATGAAACATTATTTTTTTCTACTAACATTTAATACACTTACTTAGTTAAAAAATAATTTCAAGATAACTTATTAATCTATTCATTTATTAATGGAAAACCAACTTTTAAAATTTAAAATAATTAGTATATAAAAGTTCAATATCACAAATTATATGAATTATCATATCAACTCGTGAACTAATATGAAATAAGAAGATATTTTATCCATACTAAATAAAACAAGAAATGATATGTGAACCATTTACCAAAAGATTAATCCACAGATAAATATGTTAAAACTTTAAATTCAGAAAAAAAGTTTTTTTTTTTTTTTAAGTTAGGAAACTTGCCCAAAAAACATTTTCAAAAATCTTATTTTCTGTAAAATGTTATTTAAAAAAAAAGGAAACTTATTTCCTAATTCCATGTATTTTTTTGGAAAATATTTGATTATACCAAACATATATTTTAATTATTTAATAATACAAAAAATTCCCTTCCTCTCACAATAGATTTAATTTATAATTAAAAAAATATTAGATTAAGAATCTAAACATCTTTCTCATAACCATTCATATGAATTAAATAAAAAATAATAATTAATATTTGGATAAATTAGAAAATGAAATTAATATTTCATTAAAAATTAAGATCATTATTAAAATTTAGATTTTTCTTACAAGATAAAATCTGCCGTATAGGTTAGGTTTAACCATGAAAATATTAAATAAGCATTAACCATTAAAATTATTAATGAAAGAAAGTATAAATTAATATTATTTTTAATGTCGCTTTAGTTAGCTTTATCACCACACCTAACACTAAAAGGTAAATTAAGCACCACAACAACTTTTAGCACCTATCTACTATTACTCCATAAGCACTTTTTCATTTCTCTCTCTCTATATCCAAACAAAACATAGATTAAAGAATGAACATTACTTTATTATATTTTTAATTTTTTAGACTAAGATTTTCCTTCTACAAAAGTACAAATTCTTGCCTTCACACATTGGTGTCTCTCCAAAGTTCAAAGTTCAAACAAAAGCAATCAAAACGCAAACGCAACCTTCATTCTCTCTTCCTCCTCCACAAAATCCTTCCTCTGCAAACCTAAACGCAGAAAACAAAACAAAAAAAAACACCTCCAACGACAACACACAACACACAAAACGACTAACCAACTCCAAAACGCAAACACTCTCCTCAAAACGACAATCACCACAAAACAACACAACCACCGTCCTCCACCGTCTTCATCTTCCCCTTTCTCATAAGGTATCTTCATCATTCACAATTCAAAATTAAAAAACATTCATTTGTTTTTATTATCATCAATTTTGTTTTTATTCATTATTTTTACCTGTTTTAAATTCCGATGAATCTTGAAAACTGAAGCGTTCTACGTGTTGCAAAAGAACAGGGTCGATGGCAGAATTTGGGAACAACAACGGCACCAATACGACGTCGCCTAGATTCTCCTTTTTCAGCCGCTCCCGAACGACGCTTCGCAAGGAAAAGCCGCCCGAGCTGGAACGTTCTCTGACGAAGTTGACCGAATCCCCCCGCGGCGGCAGCGTCGTCAAGAGGCTCTGCAACTTCTTCGAGTCCGTGAAACCTTCGTCTTCGGAACCACAACACCGCCACCACAGGCTCAAACCATCGAAATCGCTCGAAGCCTCCGATTCCTCCCTCGATTCGACGGTGAAATCGATCGATTCCTCGCCGGTGATTCGGTTACCGGGGACCGAGGATCGGATCGTGTTGTATTTCACCAGCTTACGCGGGATTCGAAGGACCTACGAGGATTGCTACGCAGTGCGGATGATATTTCGGGGATTTGGGGTTTGGGTTGACGAGCGTGATATTTCGATGGACGCAAATTTCAGAAAGGAGTTGATGAACGTGCTGGGGGAGAATGGGAGGAGGAAGGAACACGTGGCGCTTCCGCAGGTGTTTATCAGGGGGCGGCACGTGGGGGGTGCTGACGTGATCAAGTACATGTGGGAGGTGGGGGAGCTGAAAAAGGTTCTGGAAGGGTTGCCAAGGACAAAGGGTGGATTTGTGTGTGAGAGTTGTGGGGATGTGAGGTTTGCGCCTTGTGGGAATTGCAGTGGGAGTAGGAAGGTGTTTGATGAGGATGAAGGGGTGTTGAAGAGGTGTTTGGAGTGCAATGAGAATGGGTTGATAAGGTGTCCTAATTGTTGCTCTACTTGAAGTTTGGGAAAAAGAGAAATTTGAAACCTTGGTGTGTAGTTGTTGGCACAAAACTTACATGCAGTTCTTTACTTGTTTTGGTGGTGTTCTCTTATCAGAATTTGATAAGAGATTTACTTGGACAGAATAGGTATGCATTTTGGGTTTGTCTAGCTCCAATTCTAGGATTTTTACGCTGTTATCTAATCAGAATTGGAATATTCTGTCAGTGGTGGAGGTTCGCATTGAATATCAACAAAGATGGTCACACTGATATTCCAATTTTACGTGTTTTTGGTGTTGTTATCTATTCAGATTTAGAGTTTCGTGCGTGGAATAATGGATCGTGGGAAAGATGTGAAACTCAGATTTTGATTGGAGGATGACATGAGAGCATGTGAGTAACTGCGTTTAAGTTTTGTGGTAGTAGTTGCAAATATAGGATGCACAAGTTTAGGCGTGGGTACGTGATTTGAAGAACGTGAAGGTGTTTGGAGGGAATGAGTTTGGTTAATGCTAAAGCACTCTTCAATTTTTTTTTTCTATGGGTATTTTTTTTTTGTTATTTGTGTTATGAGCTGAAGGTTTTCTTGTTCAGCTCCTTGAACGGCATTTTGTTAAGAGTGTGATTTTTATCTTAAAAAAAAAATGAAAATGCCAGCTGAGTTTGTATGTTGCCTATTATAGTTCATCCACAATATCAAGGAGTGTTCCTCTGGAGACAATGTAAATATTTTGTAATATCAAAAGGGATTTGCTGATCATTCAAGTTTATGAAAACTCTGTATTTGTTTGTATATTGACCCTCTTTATGTGTTAATACTTTGTTTCTTTTTGTTTTCATATATAAATATTGATCATTCAAGTTTATGAAAACTATTTATTTGTATATTGACCCTCTTTATTTGTTAATACTTTGTTTCTTTTTGTTTTCATATATTTATTATATATATATATATATATATATATATATATATATATATATATATATATAAAAGATATAATAAATATTGATCATTATTCTCATGCTTATTTTAGTTCTCATATCCTTTACCTTGATTTTGTGATATCTTCATGTGTGTGGGGCATATTACACGGGAAAATGTGAATATTAAATATCTTTATTTTTTTGTAATGACTGTTTGTGGTGCTTTGTGAACATAATCATAGCCAGTTCCTGCCTTGTTACGTTGAATGTTATAGTTTTCCTGTGCCTTAACTAACCCTCTATTAATCCTGTGCAATTTTAACCGGTGAAGAAACTGATGGGATGTAGACAAATAATGTTCCTAAAGCTGATGGCATTTCTATTTCTTGCAGAAAATGTTAGTATTATTTTCTTTATAAAATAGAAGAGAAAAAGACCATATTGATTAATGACCAGAAGTGGATGATAGTTTTAAGGTAGTTTCTGAATTTCACTAAATAAATAAATAAATTCTAACAATAGTTTCACCTTTTCACATTCTACCTTTATTTTACATAAAGTTTTTGCATGTTATTATTAAAATGAAAATCAGTAATACTTGTCTTGATTGAAATGAAAAATGAACACTATTTTAAAACTGTTTTTATTTATATAAGGAAATGACATTTTAAAACTGCATTTTACCATTCTGATTTATAATTCTTTTCCATAACCATAAGAAGTTGAGAACTGGTAACTCAGTAATTAGTATTCGTGCCTTTGGTGCATGACAATGAAATATTGAGTCTACTGCCACCTTATCCATTTCATGCAGATAAACAACTATGATGGAATTTATTGAGCACCCTCTTGATGTTTAATGTATCATAGAAGTTTTTTGTTTTCCATTTTTTTTTTATGTTTTCCATGTTTGATGTTGGTAGTTGGTACAAGGTTGTTTTCCCATTTCCATGATATGATAATATCAAGTGGGAGGATGTTGCAACTACTCTCCATAGACCATAGCTGATGCAGTACACGGAAGACCAAAATAATTAGTAATTCTTTCATTTCTAGTTTAACTATGGAAGATGGGTTTTTTGAGTTTTCGATGGGACATTTATCTCCTACATGCTCTTAATTTCATTTTGTCGTTATTATTATTATTGTTTCTTTTGATAGGGGAGAGGTATAAGCACTTAAACTTAGTGTCAATTACTTTTATATTCCGGAGTTTTATTTATTTATTAAATTAATTTTAGATCACTCTATTATTTTTAGAACTTGTAATTAGCTTGATATTGCATAGGACAAATGCTGAATCTATATGATTAAAATTCATAAATTATATTTTAGATTTATAATGATTATAAAATAATCTTAATTATTTGAAGAACGTGTAATAAAATGTTCATAGTGATAATAGTAAGAATCTTAATTAATTTTAATATTCAATCAATTCATATTTCATATCAACAGTTGAATTGGGATCTTCCCCCTCATCACAATTTTGATGGCTTTGTCTTCTTTTTCAAAGCACCCTTTTGGTATCCAATGAGAGTCTACGAGGTTAACTTTGCGCATCTAGGAAATCAGAGAAAGATACATGGGAATGGATTCTCGTGTTAAATTTGTATCTTTAACAAAAAAAAAAAAAGTTAGAGTAACCATTCTTGAAGACAAAGTGATGGAGAAAGAAAAAGACCCCTGCTTTGATTATTTAAAGATCTGCAAGCATCGATATTTTCTAAATAAATTTGTGTTGGTGCACCAAAAATGGTTTTGGTGTACCAAATGAAAACCTAAAGCTTAATTATACATAAATATCTAAACTCTTTGAAAATTTTAAATTATTACTTTCTTGAATCATTTTCCAAAGTTTTAATTTTTATAGTTCTGAAAAAAAAATTTAAACTGTTTTGCAAAACTTTTTTTTTTCATAAAAAATAAGGGAAGACTCTAGTCTTGAATTGATTGATCACTTCAACGTTAACTCTTTGAATTGAAATTTTAATTAAACATGATAAATTTATTTCTAATTTCTAAAGTCTAAACAAACAAGGGGTTTGAATAATTTATATAAGTATTATCCCTTTAGGTTAAATCGATGAAAATTTTTTACCTCGCTATCAAAAAACCTTATTTAATTTGTTGACAAACAAATATCTAAATAAAATACTCTATATATTATCACTTGATGTGTTTGCAATGAGTGATGCATGGTCAATTTATAGGCCTTTGGATATGACCTCTCAACTACATGCATTTAATACAACTACTACCTTTCAACTACATACATTCAATACAACCACTATCTCTCAAGTACATACATTCAATATAACTACTACCTCTCAACTACATACATTTAATACAACTACTACCTCTCAACTACTACCTCTATAACCACTACCTCTCAACTACATGCATTTAATGTTTACCTAACAAAATCCCCCCATAAACTTAAATGCTTTTCTTATCTTTCATTCCAAACATCTTCTTGCTGTTCTCGAACAGAGTGGTTGACAGTGGCTTCGTGAACATATCTGCAGCTTGTGCTCGGGTTCCGATGTGCTCTAACTCCACATTTCCTTCTTTCACTTGTTCTCGGATGAAGTGAAACTGAACATCAATATGCTTGCTTCTCTCATGATTGACCGGGTTCTTTGACAATTCAATGATCGACTTGTTATCAACTCGAATCACAGTCTCTTTTTCTTGCTTCAACTCCAGCTTGCTTAGAAGGTTTCTAAGCCAAACTGCATGACAGACACTCCAGGATGCTGCAATGTACTCGGCTTCACAAGTTGACAACGTTACAATGGGATGTTTTTTTGAAAGCCAGGTGAATGTTGTGTTTCCCATGAAGAATACATATCCAGACGTGTTTTTCCAGTCATCAACATCTCCACACCAGTCACTATCAGAGTAACCTACTAGTCGATAATCATCCGTCCTAGTATACATTAGGCCAAGTGACACTGTTCCTCTCACATACCTTAGAATTCTCTTTAGTGCCTTCCAATGAGTATACCTTGGCTCCTCCATATATCGACTTGCTATTCCAACACTTAACATTAAATCTGGTCTGGTATTTGTAAGATACCTAAGACTTCCAATCAGACTTCGGTATTTGCTCGCATCAACTCGGTCTCCATCTGCATACTTAGAAAGTTTTGTACCAGGTTCCATAGGGGTGGAAACTGGGTTGCAACTTGTCATCTTAAACTTCTTCAAGACCTCCTCAACATACCTTTCCTGCGACACAAAGATGCCATCCTTTCCCTAAACAACTTCTAAGCCAAGAAAATACTTCATAAGACCCAAGTCAGTCATCTCAAACTCCTTCTTCATCACTTCTTTAAACTCTTCAATCAGCTCGACATTATTCCCCATAAGATAAGGTCATCAACATATAGGGCAACAAACATCACATCTTCTCCTTTCTTCTTTATGTATAGAGCATGTTCATAAGGACATTGCTCATAACCATTCCTTTTGAAGTAAGTGTCAATTCTTTCATTCCATGCTCGTGGAGCTTGTTTCAAGCCATAAAGTGCCTTCTTCAATCTCAACACTTTCTTCTCTTCGCCTCTTCGCATGTATCCGAGTGGCTATTCAACATATACTTCCTCCTCCAAGATTCCATTCAGAAATGCCGACTTCACGTCCATTTGCAAGATTGTCCATCTGTGTTGAGCTACTAAGGAAATCAGCAGCCTAATTATTTCCATTCTCGTCACTGGGGCGAATACTTCGTCATAGTCTATTCCTTCCTTCTGCTTGTACCCCTTCACCACGAGTCGAGCTTTATATCGCTCAACTTCTCCTTCAGCATTTGTTTTCTTCTTGTACACCCACTTTACACTGATAGGCCGCGCTCCTTTGGGCAAATCAGTCAGCTCCCATGTGTTGTTGCGTTCTATTGCCCCGATCTCCTCGTCCATTGCATTTTTCCACCTTTTCTCCTGCACGGCCTCTTCAAAACTTAAGTCTTCTGAATCTGCCAAGAGATATACAACATGCACTTCGTCAGTGGAGTTGTATATATCTTGTAAACTTCGCGCTCTGGGCTGTAGAGGTTCATCTTCTTCATCAGAAGTCTCTTGATCTCTCACAATATGTGGTGTATCAACTTCCGAGCTTCTACTTCCTATGGACTCCTTCTCCGAGTTGTTCCAACTCCACTCGCTTTCTTCATCAATTTGAACATCTCGGCTCATGATGACTTTCTTAGTTATTGGGTTAAACAACCTGTACGCCTTGGTTTTTTTATCATACCTAATAAACACGTACTTTTTGCTTCTATCTTCGAGCTTGGTCCTCTGTTGAGCTGAAACATGACCATAAACTATGCTACTGAACACTTTAAGGTGAGACACACTCGGTTTTCTTCCACTCCAGATTTCTTGCGGTGTCTTCTCGTTCAGCTAGCATGTGGACATCTATTTTACACATAGATGGCACATTGCACTGCTTCTGCCCAGAACTCCTTTGGCACGTTTTTGCTTCTCAACATTGTTCGAACCATGCCAAGAATGGTTCGATTCTTCCTCTCCGCAACTCCGTTTTGTTGGGGTGAGTATGGTGCTGTCAGAAATCTCGTTATCCCTTGCTCCTCGCAATACTTCATGAGTTCGGATGAAATGAACTCACCTCCTCGATCAGACCTAACAGATTTGATAGACATGTCAGTCTCTTTCTCAACCATTGCTTTAAATCTCTTGAACACCTCAAACACCTCATATTTCTCCTTCAAAAAATATACCCAAGTTTTTCTTGAAAAATCATCTATAAAAGAAATGAAATACTTTTTCCCATTGAAAGACTCAGGGGTAACTGGTCCACAAAGATCTGTGTAAATCAATCCGAGTTGTTCCTTTGCACGGTACTTGGCCGTCCTCAGAAATGACGTCCTCGGATGCTTCCCGAGCACACACTCTTCACAGAATTTCTTTTCAAATTCCATAGACGGGAGTCCTCACACCATTTCTTTCTTTACCAACTCGGTCAGCCCGCCAAAATGCAAGTGGTCAAACCGAAAGTGCCACATCATTGCTTCATCCTTTACGTCAAGTTTCAAGCACCTCTCTTGGACTATCTTCAAGTCCAGCTTGTACATTCTGTTCTTCTTCATTTCAACTCGGGCAATCAAACGATCCGACTTGTCCTTCAGGTATAGTACTCGGTCTTTCATCAGAACCGAGTAGCCTTTCTCCATCAGCTGACCCATGCTCAATATGTTGCTTTTGAGATCGGGTACATAGTACACGTCTCTGATTTCTCCAACTTGGCTATTCTTCTGCAGGTACCAGATTGTACCTCGGCCTTTTACTGCCACCTTTGATGCATCTCCAAACGACACGTGTCCGACCTCAACTTTAGTGAGCTCCTTAAAAAGGTTCTCGTCCCCGCACATGTGGTTACTTGCTCCTGTATCAAGATACCAAACCGAGTTGTCAGAACAGCTCGAACTTAGCTCGACATCCGAACTTCTCGACATCATCAATACTCCTTCTTCCTCAGCATCCTCAGAGAGGAAGTTTGTTTCCTTCTTCCTCTCAGATCGGCAGTCCTTCGCGAAATGCCCAACCTTCCCACAATTATAACATTTGATACCTGAATAACAGTTCTTAGCAAAATGACCGTACTTCTGAAGCACTCAACTTCGAAATTGCTTGACTGACCACCTTGGCCTCTACTGCCACGACCTCTACCTTGTCCTTGGCCACGCCAGTTTTGTTGACTGACTTGCTCCTTACCTCTTTCATATCCTCCTCTGCCTCTACCACCTCGACCTTGAGTGTTCTGAGCATAAGGAATCTTCTTCTCCTTTAAGGTTGCCTTTGCTTGGAGTGCTTGATCAAGGGACTCCTCTTTCTTCTTCCTTCTCCGCTGCTCATGCGCTTAAAGCGACCCGGCAAGCTCTTCCACCGAGAACACCGACAAGTCCTTGGACTCTACTATTGCACAAACGATATTCTCAAAGTCGTCAGTTAACGACCTTAAAATTTTCTCCACCACTCGGCAAGTGGGTAGCGTCTCTCCATTTCTTCCGAGTTGATTCACCACGGTCTCAACACGAGAGATATACTCGGAAACCCCTTCGACCTCTTTCATTCTCATGCTTTTAAGCTCGCATCTAAGAGTTTGAAGCCTGACTTGCTTCACGCGATTATCCCCTTTATATGCCTTCTCCAGAACATTCCACGTTTTTTTTGAAGATTTAGCATTTGTTATCTTCTCAAAGCCGGACTCAACAACAGCTCGGTACAACACGTACAAAGCCGTTTTGTCCTTTACTCGTGTTGCTCTCAATGCAGCAAGCTGGGCAATCGTCTGCTCTTCAATATTCTCTGGTTCTTGGTGCCCATTTTCGACCACATCCCATACTTCCTGGGAACCAAGGAGAGCCTTCATTTGCAAGCTCCAGTTATCATAGCTTACGCCTTTCGATAACTTTGGCAAGGGCATGTTGTTAGCTAAGTTGGCCATCATCTCAAACAAACTCTCTAACTCTCAAACACTCTCTCTAACGCACTCAGACACTCAGGCTCTCAAGCTCTGATACCAATTTGTTGACAAACAAGTATCTAAATAAAACACTCTGTATATTATCACTTGATGTGTTTGCAATGAGTGATGCATGGTCAATTTATAGGCCTTTGGATATGGCCTCTCGACTACATGCATTTAATACAACTACTACCTTTCAACTACATACATTCAATACAACCACTATCTCTCAACTACATACATTCAATACAACTACTACCTCTATAACCACTACCTCTCAACTACATGTATTTAATGTTTACCTAACATAATTCTCATGGATATGTTATTCACCATGATATTTTTCATATAACAAAACCCAAGAAAAAAAGATAGCAACTTTGATAGTGAAGTAATCTCATCATGTCATGGAAAAATATACAAGAGAGAATGAGAAATGAGAATCTGAATGTACAAATTCCTATGATTTGTGCTCCAAAATGGGGCAACATATGAGTTCTGATCCTTAACTTCTATCCAGCTACTGAGTAAGAGGAACACACTCAAGCTCAAGCTCAAGTTCACCTCTCTCAATGTTCTGAAGCCTCACTGAGATCTCCTGTTTGATCTTTCCTTCATCAAGGGATATGATTCCATCTCTAACAAGGGTGTTGTCCTTGCTTGCTACGAATTTACCAAGCTGCATGGACTCATTGATGTTCGATTTCTCGTAGGCCTTTGCTGCTATAACTAGAGGTTGAATGTCTATTTCAGCCTCTCCCATAAAATCATCAGTTGAAAATGTATCCTTGTCATACACAAGCTGCACATAACACACACCAACAAACATCATCAATCAAATATGGTTCATTGCCACATAAAATGCTATACACCAAACATGCAATATTACCAAAATTGGAAATATAACGACAGTGGTTTCTTATGTAGATGTAATGCATAGATGGTGACATGACTTAAGATAAGTCGAATTCTAGACATTATAGCAGCACATCTGTTATGTGAAAAGAAAGGCATGCAGAGTTTTCAAAAAGAAAACAGGAAGTGGTTTCATGATTTGCAGGTTACTTAACCTGATTTAAGAATGTTGTAAGCAAGAATGAAAATTACTCAGAAAAGTTTAGCTGGTTTTTTCCTTTAATGAGCCTCAAACAAAGGACAGATGAACAAGAAAGAAAGGAAAAAAGAAAACGCACGAGAAAATATTTTTGTTCTTAAAAATATGCTGTCATACACAAAATTTGACCATAAATTAGAATATGACCAATTTTCATATGAATTAGCCAGTATCAGAGAATGAAAATGATATGTTCTGCTTTTGGCCTAACAAAATTTTAATAGGTTCATTTTTGGTGGTGATATACAACAAATAATTTAAACTGGATGTAATAAAATGGTTCAAGGTTTTCAAGTACAGAATTATAAGGTTTTTAATTATTGGTTTCAAGTACAGAATTATAAGCCAATCATTTTCATCTCCCTCCTCTCCTTTATTTCTCTTGAGATTATTACATTAATCCTGTGAAGTCTTGTTCCAAGTTCAAGGGGAACTGAAAATGAATGGATATTAGTGTTGCATGGATTAAAATTGTACAAGAAAACAAACCTTTTATGATTAGCAGAAATTGAAAAAAGAAATGAACTTACCACTTTTAGAGGAGGAATGTTCTCTGGAATTGATAGCATTAGACTTTCATTCCACACTGGATTCAAATTGTTTTTTATGACTCGTGTTTTTACTGACTGCAACAATAAATATAAAAAGTGTCTCACATTAAAGGTCACACGTTTTCCCTTTCCATCTATATTTTAAACTAGGTCATGGATAAAAATGCTCACTTGGTGACCCAAAGAAAGGATAACATAAGGGTCACTAGTCATTACGTCTCGAACAGCTAGGTGAGTGCCTTTAACCACATTAACCTTAATCAACCCAACAAATTCAACCATACCTGCCTATAACAGTAGATGGGAGCAACAAGATTAAGTATTTAGAAAAAAAATCCAACATTAATGATATCATTCTCCCTTTCTCTATTCAAAATAAGATATAGAGAAGTATGCCTCACATTTTAATAATGCTTTGAAGTTAAGAGCACATAAGGTAAATAGATGATAAAACCCAATGTTGCAGTTCCTAAAAACTGAAAATTGTATAAGATATGCTTTTTATCATATGTCAGACTAACAAAGACACAATTCTGGGGAAAAAAGTGTTTTGTCATGATGATGTATCATATATTTTTCTCAAAAACACTAATAATACAAACGAATTTAGATTCTTCTTTTCAGCAAAGCATTGCTATTCAATTTGTCTTTCTTCTCTCTTGTGCTCACTTCAGTGAAAAAATAGATGGTGAGTTATCCCAGTTCCTAGCAATTTTTCTCTTTCTTTGCCTTCATAAACCTCCAAAATTTTATACTCACAAAACTTATATTAAGAATCATGGGGTGATATAGAATTCTCCTAAAGCTAGATATAATTGTCTACTAATGCTCCTTTCTAGATATTTTTCTAGTATTTCATATTACTAAAATATAATATCAAAAGGCAAAGACCCTCCTAGATTCATAGATATTGTCCAGAATATAGAGCATGAAACTCATCCCTCATGCCTTTTGACTAGAAATACAGAGCAGGGCAGCAAGAAGCAACATAAAATTTAATACATAGCACACTTGTTGCATCAATTGACTCCAAAAGTAGTTTTTCCTGTTCATTTAGACAGAGCTAACATTAATCAAAGGGGAAATTACCAATGAGGTACTCTTCTTTGGCTTGTGATCAGCTTCTTTTTTTCCCCAACTATTGCGCAATGCATTCCCAATACGAATTTTGCTTGGATGTTTTTCAGATGGTTTTTTGTCCATGACTGCATTATAGTATGAAGAACTGCACTGAGCAAGTGATATACTTCTTCCTTGAGATGGGACAATGGGGCCTGTCATATGGTCATCACTCTCCATAAATTGTTGCAGCTCATATTTTCTCCTGAAAAAAATCAAATAGTACATTTCTGAATTAGAATTGGGTAATTCCTAAAAAAACAAAAATGAAATGTTTGTATTCCTTTCAGTTACCGAATAAATTCAGAGCGCTCTTCGATGGAAGAATGTGGTTTTGGTTTTGCCATGTTACTTGGGAGGCAAGCTTCGTACTTCTTATTTAACAATGTGTTTCCTCCCATTTTTTCCAGTGCATCAACTTGTTCATCTGTCCATTCATCTAGCTTCAATGATAAAACCTACAACAGAATCAAATATTGTTAGCATTTCATTTTGCAGTGTGCCAGTTATGCATGCATAATGGAACCCCCTCTTCCATGTTTCAGATAGATCAATGAGTATGATAAAAGGACTATGACACCAAGAAGTTATTTTAAAAGCTTGGTTAGAAACACACCTTTGATATGTGGACTCCTAGACTTCTATGTATGCCAGAACACTTGATGCAAATAAATACTCCAAGACTCGAAGATCTGATGTTAAACAAATTCATCACATCAAAACAAATATGAAAATATATTCACTGAATAAATATAACATCGCATATGTTCTAGAGCAAGTAGGGCACAAATTTTCTAAGCTTCTAAGATCCAAATCATTTGGTAAATATATTCTAATGGTTATACTTATATTCCTATGAAAAATCAGACAAATACTTACACCCATTTTGGCTCTGGAGTTCCGCAATCAGCGCAAAACCTATTCCCAGCATGATGCATCAGATTTGTTAGCCTTTTCTGGGGACCTAGTAATTGGATAACGAATAAGAATAAGATATAAGATGAAACTAATCAAGTAAAGAGGTATGATGAAGGGGTTAGGTTTCTTTCAAGAGGATAATAACTTAAGCTGAACCCTACGGACAGGGACAAACTATCTATAAATGTTGCACATATGAATAATCTCCTTCCCTGTTACACAAATAAAGTCACTTAGTCTATGACAATTAATCCTCTTTTTATCATTCCATTGTCACTGCCACCATCATATAGTTATTATTATTGTTTTTATCACCATCACCATTATGGTAGCTATCATCTCATGGTTATCATCATTATAATTATTATCGTTATCATTTTCACCACCATCATATTACATCACCACTGCAACATATTGTTTTCCTGTCTTAATCATAATATGCACAAACCATTGGATACAAATAATTCTTATCATATTATTATAATCTTATCTTATCCTTGTATTCTATCTTCTGACAAACGAGTCATAAGACTACTTAACATCTCATTTTTGTTAACGTGACTCAACCATGTTTTACAAGTCATCAAAAAGATGTATTCAAAACCATTTGATATCTTATGTTTGGTTGCATGAAGACATGTTTTGACACAATACCTGTTTCAATGCTTCATTTAGGTGTAATGACATGGTACAAATCACAAGATCTTAAGTATCTGCTACATCCTCATAACTCAGAATAAGAAAACAAATGAATCTGCCAGCAATTCCCAGCAACCAAAACAATCGTTCAAATTATCTATAAACAACTTAATAGAATTCTGCAAATTGCATCCCTGGTTACTTACATATGATCATTTTCCAATTCCTTAGAGGAAAGCCTTTGCATTATTCCATCTCACCCATTAAGTTGTTAGTCGTAAAAGATATTTCACAACAGGGGGACAGAGAAAATTGAACGAAATGGTTCAATGGTATTGACAAATCTATTCTTCTTGTGTACAAAATCAATCATTCTATTATTTTTCGTTTCTGGAGGAAGAGGGAAAAAGGGATTAAAACTCTTACACATTACATCTTTTGTATCAGATTTCTCATGCTGTATAGACATATCTGGCCTCCAATATTTGAAATCCAAAGGAAAATGTTGTGCTACAATCTGTCACCTGCCATACGGCAGTTTCTTCACTGCATGCAAATACATGACATTGCACATAGTAAATCTGATCAGGTTCAACGTGACATGTGCAAACCAAAATGAATAAACATAAATGGTGGCCAAAAGGTTGCAAGTTGCAATGGGATAACCATTAAGGGAATAAAAAGATACAACTTCTGGATATAAATTCTTATATATCAGAACGTATCTTTCTGCTCTTAAATTTTCAGTTCAGAAGAAGCCAATGGCATTTTCTGCATTGCAACAAACCAAAATGGTTTTAAAAACAAATGGCTAAATCATATCCAATAACATACCCTCGAGACTGAAATTTGAGAAAATTGTTTTTTTGACGACCATTGAAGGTGAAAGATTGAAATTTTGAGAAGCGTGCATTGAATAGGAAAAGAAGAAACGTGGAAACTCAATTGACAAGCCAAATGTGATGGTTTTTGGGAGTGGCAAAAAAATCAAAGGTTTCAGGGGAAACAAGACAGATCAGAATTATCTTTCTTTTCTAACAAACTTTATGATCCTTAAAAATTACTATGTAAATGTGTCGATGTGGAATTTGCTAGGTTTTCTGCAATGTTTATTTTTTTCTTTTCTTAAATGAACATATAATTAACATGTTTGACACACCAACTATAGAACATGAATGTAGCATGGCCTGTATATTGACACGTGTACACCTGAAAAACTTGGTAAGAATGTAAGAAGCGCAATAAGTCAATATTAACAATGCAAAAGCTGGCACCCAAAAATTAAAAACTTCACCTTTTTCTTTATCAAATCTTTAATTTTTTCTCCCTTCAACTTCAGCAAATTTGTATGGTATTTTAACAATCTTAGTGGCTCTTAAAGAGTTTCATAAATTTGTTTAGTTTGGGAAATAAATATTTTTCTTAGTTTAAAAATACTTATACATCTATACTAATTATAATATTGCAAGATAAAGCAAAAAAACGACCATGCCATTAGTTAGATTAATAATAATAATAATAATAATAATAATAATAATAATAATAATAATAATAATACTTACCTACATTGGTTAAATTTATAATTAAATAATTCTATTTTAAAATAAAATAAATGATATTTTCCGTATAACGAATAAAATATACTAATTGCATAATTTAAGTATTAAACTTATTATACAATAAAAAATGTACCTACTTAAAATTTTTAAATATGCTTAATTTTTTCATTATACTTTACATTTTATTAACTAAACTCATTAAATTAACTGATTTTTAACATATTGAATTACATTATACTTTCAATTTTTTTAAATATTAATATTTAAAGGTATCAATTAAATTCTAACAAAACATATCTTTTTATTTAAAAGTTTCTTTATTATATAAATTTGAATAGTAGAAGATTAGCACTGTAATCATTAAAAACTTGTAATATAATTCATCCAAATTAGACATATAAAAGCTATAAAGATTTTGTTCAATAAACAATGATACAATATTATTAATAAAATTATTCATATTTAAATACTAATTCTAGATAACATTATATTAATACAAAATGAAATTATGACTAATACAAACTTAAAAAGCAATAAATTACATATATATATATATATATATATATATATATATATATATATAATACTCAGATTCAATTATAATTGAGATTAATTATAAATACTAATTTTACTTAAAGATAACAAATATTAATTTTTATATTAATTGTTATTTTAATTTTTTATTCTTTTCTCATAAGTATTTACACAATAATTTTTCAAACTTTATTTTATCTTTAATATAAAACTTTATGAATTAATGAAAATGTAATTTTATTGTTTATAACATAAAAATTATCTTAAAAACAAACGTCATGCATTTTATGATTAAATTTTGATTCTTTAGAAGATGTGATGTGATTAACGATGTAAATAAGTTGAATCGAACCAATAAAGAATACGATTCTCGCAACACTGAAAAAAAATCGAACTTGACGCATTTAAATAATCTAATTAAATTTAATATGTAATTTATTTAATTACTTAAACGAACTCGAATGTTTAACTGACAGAATCTCAATAATTCACCGCCAAATTATATTCATGTTCGTGTTCTGATTGCCAGGTAGCATCAACTTCTGCAACAGCACTCACCCAATGAAAGTGGTGCAACCCAAAACCAAATGTAACTACCACACCCCCCTTCGTTTTGAAGGATTAGTCTCAAATGTTTCAATTTATATTGTTTGAGTTGCTGCATTTGACTACGGTTCATTATTGTTTTTAAGTTCTTGATGTTTTAGGATTTTTAAGTGCTTAGAGGTCGTTGAAGCTTTGAATGCCATTGATTGATGCTGCATGAAACTTTTGTTTTACGCAATCTGGGTTGCTGCATTTCTAGCTTACTGAATTGTTTTTATTACTCAAACAGTGTAGATGGGTAAATCGAGTTTTTTTGGGGATGGGATTTTAAATTCATGGAATTATGCTTCGTTGTGATTGTGTAAAACAAAACGGGGACTGGGTCTAGGAGAACGAGTTAGTCTTTCATGACGTAACTAACCAAGGTCCAAATTCCTTTCAAGAAATGTGTATTGCCTTTGAAGAAGGAAATTTGGGAAACCAAACAAACATAATTGCATCTCAATGATTTGGGGATTTTTTTTGGTTGTTTTGTAATTCAAGTGTATTTTAAAGGTTGGTTGCATTTCTCAAATATTGGTCCTAGTCCAAAAACAAATTTGGTGTGCTTCTGTAAGTTGCATAGGACTGGATTCTGGGATATGATATGGTGAAGGATAACCGAAATGGTGTTTGTTATTTCCCATCTTTCTTGATTGAGATATAGTTTTGGCATCTTTGTTTAGTAACTAGTAATGCGCTGTGTGGCTTCTTTCACGAGATAGTTTTGATGGAAAATGAGTTATGATTCATTTGGTCACATTATTCATGTATAGGTTCTATATATGCAGCAATTCCTAGTGTAAATACGATGCATATGGTTCATGATTTCTGACATAGGAGAATGTGAATCAGGTAGGTTGATTCTGTGTGTGTAGGTGCGTAAGACATGGATGCAGATTCGTCACCATTAGTGTAAGGTTGTCATGCACTAGTTGTGGAAGTTTCATCTAAATTCCTTGTGTTCTTCACTAATATTTTTTTAAGTAATAAGCATCATTCTTGGGTTATTCTGTTTTGTACATATGCTTTTGCGAATTGTCTGCTTCTGTGATATAATCTATGATGTGTGAGCTGTAAGGAATATTATGATTAAATCCATGCTACTGGCTAAGCTAAACGATTTTGATCGTGTACTTATAAATGTCTTCAAAAAAATTTAATTGAATATGTTTCTTACTGAATTACACAGGTTATCGCTAGGGTCTAAAACAATCCTTGAGGCACACTGAGAAAGGCACAGAAATGGAGTCTCTAGTTCTTCAACTCCATGAAATCTCAGCTGTCAAATTTGGCAATTTCAAGCTCAAATCTGGGATCTCCTCACCAATCTACATAGACCTCCGCCTTGTTATCTCTTACCCTTCTGTCCTCCGGAATGTTTCTCAAACTCTTATTTCCTCTGTCTCTTCCACTTCATTTGACCTTGTCTGCGGTGTCCCGTACACTGCTCTTCCCATTGCCACTTGTGTGTCCATTACCCGGAACATCCCCATGGTCATGCGCCGCAAGGAAATCAAAGATTATGGTACTTCTAAAGCCATTGAAGGTGATTTCAGGCATGGACAAAGTTGCTTGATAATTGAGGATCTAGTTACAAGTGGCACATCAGTTTTGGAAACTGCTGCGCCACTGCGTGCTGCAGGGTTGAAGGTCAGTGATGCTGTTGTTTTGATTGATAGAGAGCAAGGCGGGAGAGAGAATCTGGAGAGTAATGGAATCAAGCTGCATGCAATTCTTAAATTGACTGAAATGGTGGAAATTTTGAGGGAAAAAGGAAAGCTCAATGAGAAAATGCAAGAGGTTGTTTTGAGATTCTTAGAAGAGAATCAGAAGATTGCTGCTTTGGCTACAAGAACAAAGTTCAAGGCCTTTCCGTTTTTGAAAAGGGCTAAATTGTCCATGAATCCAACAGGAAAGAGGTTGTTTGAGATAATGGCTGAGAAGGAGAGTAATCTGTGTTTGGCTGCAGATGTTGCAACTGCTGCTGAATTACTTGAAATTGCTGACAAGGTTAGAACTTGGCATTAATTGGAAAATATGTTTCTTAATTTAAAAAATGGGTGATAACTCTTTTAAGAGTCCTATTCTTTAGATTATGTTCGTCATTGAGATAGTAAACTTATAGTTAGACGTTTAGTCCTGACAAATAAATTACTTAAACTAATTTGGCCGCTCTTTCCTGCCAGGTTGGGCCTGAGATATGCTTGCTGAAGACACATGTCGATATTTTTCCAGATTTTACACCTGATTTTGGTTCTAAGCTTCGTTTGGTAGTACTAAAAGAAGCCCTTTTTTGCTTTTCAGCAGAGTATAACTAATTTTTGCAACTTGATATTGTCAATATTTACAGACTGAGTTGATTTGCTATTGAAATTAGAATCTGATGTCATGACTTCAAATTATTATAAGAGTATTGTATGATTAGGAGCATCACGTCAGGAATCTTGTACATTTCTGGTTTAGTTGCTTCTATTTATGCCTCTTTTTCTGTTGAAGATTGCAGAAAAACATAACTTCTTAATCTTTGAGGATCGTAAGTTTGCTGACATTGGTAACACAGTGACCATGCAGTATGAAGGGTAAGATCTATTTTGGATTCCTTTTCAGTATTATTTCTGTTGTTTCCTCTTTTAATTTGACACATTTTTTGCTCCGATATCTGCAGAGGGATCTTCCATATATTGGATTGGGCTGACATAGTGAATGCTCACATTATATCTGGTCCTGGAATTGTGGAAGGACTGAAGTTGAAGGTCTATGCTTTAGTCATAACTTTATCTTAACTGTAGCCACACCAAAATGCTAACCTAACATGTCTCGTGAATCATACTTAGGGTTTGCCTCGTGGAAGGGGTCTACTGCTCCTTGCTGAAATGAGTTCAAGTGGTAACCTTGCCAAGGGCGATTACACCACTGCTGCGGTGAAAATCGCTGAGGATCATTCTGACTTTGTTATTGGCTTCATCTCAGTCAATCCAGCATCATGGCCTCGGGCACCTGTAAATCCCTCTTTCATTCATGCAACTCCTGGAGTTCAAATGGTGACTGGTGGTGATGCTTTAGGGCAGCAATATAACACACCATATTCTGTAAGTTTATGCATGTAATGTGTATCTTTCAGTCATGTGCATAAATTAACCAAATGATAGGTGAAAGATCGTAAATGGCTTATGAACAGAGTTATATGACATGCATTAAAGTACTTTACTTTTAACATGGTTGATCTTTCATTCTTTCCTTTAAAAGAATTTTGTTGAGAAAAAAAGTATGTAGGGAACGGGAGAGGGAGGGTGAATAGTCTCTCACTATTGCATGCAGATAGGATAACAAGAGTTTTTACTATATTGTCTTGCTAGCTTGACATCATCATATTTCATATGTATATTTTATTATAATGGACATAATGTGGGTAATCCAAGTCTGAGTTAAGAATGAAAAAATTGAACAAGTGGAAGTATCACCCATAACTTAATGCCTTAAGATTTTGGATTGAGAGTGATATCAATCCCTTATTTGGGTTGGACTCATGAATCATTGATGTTGTTTTCTCCAGTAAATCCCCCTCAAAAGACTCAACAAGTGGTACCAGAGCCGAAGGTTGATCGGCAGTGGGACAAAGTAGTCTTTTTAAGGATCACTAGTGAGCTCGAGGGGATGTATCAATGTAAAGGGACTCAAACTATGACAGAGGGAGGAATTGTTAGGAAATACAAGTATGATTCTAAGTCCCACATTGGGTAAAAATGAGAATGTTGAGCAACATACAAGGAAATATGAGCCCTAACCTAATGCCTTAAGGTTTTGAGTTGAGAGTGGTATCAATCCTTTATGTGGGTTTGACTCATGTCTTATTGATGTTATTATCCCTTCGAAAGACCCAACAAATGATATCAGAGTCGAAGATTGATCAGCAGTGGGACAGAATGGATCTCCTTGAAAGGCCCAACACATATATTTGTGGATATTGTGGGATTGATAACTAAGCATTTCCATTAAAATTGAATAGAAATGAAATGACAAAGTGGATTATTGGTTTGCTTCCTTGGCAAGCTCATTTGTTTCTCCTGCTTCAGCACAGCAACCACCACCCACCCCTTAATATTGATGTGCTGTGCTGAAAATGCCTTAATGCAAATTTCTTTCCACTTCTTTCTGCTCCTTGGGTATGGATCTTTGCAGTGACTTACTATTACATGGTATCTTAGTTCTTCAATAAAAATTTTTAATATATAATATTTAAATTTGATGTTCAGAAGAGTAAATGGTGAGATCATGACAATTGACCATGTCCAAGTTTATATTTTCCACTTTAGAGTGTCTGATCCAGTCTCATGCTCCTGTGTTATAAAGATTGAACCATGAAATCATTCTTCTTGGTATTCTATAAGTGAAAGTCATCATTAAATTTAAATATGTCGTGTCCCACTATCTTATATTTTGGAAATTTGTTGTGTCTCAGCGGCATGTAGGAGGCAGGACTCCATGGTTGCATACTCTTTCATTTGAGCTTATCGCTGCTTGATAACCAAATGCTTTTTTCCAGGTTGTCCATGATAGGGGTAGTGACATCATCATAGTGGGTCGTGGCATCATCAAGGCCAAAATTCCGGGTCAGGCAGCTCGTGAATATCGTCTTCAAGGATGGTATGCATATTTGGCCAAGTGCAGCGAAAGCCTGTAGTCTCAGACTAATTCGGTGATGCCAAGTGCATATTTAGGGAGAAAACTCCTACTTGTTAAAAAGGATGTATTTTATTTCACCCTAGTATATAGGTAACATCTAAAAGGAATGCAGCACTAGAGTTTTCTTTTCTTCCCCTCTCATTTTTTGCCAGAAAAGAAGAATTTGCAGTTCAGTTTTCTGGATCTTTGCCTGAAGTGCTTCATTTAGCATATAGTATAGGTTGAATAATGCATTTCACATTAAACTTCAACAATTTTTTTCTTTAATGGAACCAAACTATTGCGTACAATTCGCCGTAATCTTATTTCTAAATATTAACTGGTTTGGCTGTATGTTTTAATCACTGGTGTTGCGCCAAGATGAACAAAAGATAGGCGATGGGATATACATGCAACTATTTATATTTAACATTTTGTCAACTTTCTCCATCACTGTAGCATATAATGAGGAATATGTAAAAAAAGATAGTCAAAAGAATGTTGTACTAATTTATATAATAAGAATAACATTTCTCAACCTAGATACTGATTTTTAATTTCGATAGGATTATTAGACAAATAACTACGAATAAACAGAACGCATTAGGTGGTTCTGAGCGATGCAGTAAAACAGATCTAAACAGTAACTTTTATGTTCTTAATCGTAGCTATGAACATTTTCTCAAGTGCTAACAATCATTGACGTTCGTAGAACAAAAAGAATATATAAAGGGCGAGTAAAGGTTCTACATCTCTAATACGTAATTATCATAACGACACGAGGTACAACTTCATGTTCATGTATTTGATGTGAGAGGATAAGCAAAGAGTCTTTGCCTCCTAAGTTGCAAAAGACAATTACATGATCAGAAGGTACATATCACTACAAGAAACTTTGCACTACAAACTATCAGCCTAAATATCATTGCTAGTTGAAGGACATAATCTCTTATCCATTCATTGTTCTTTCCAAATCCTACCAGTAACCCTCAGCTTCAATTCCTTTCGGTCACCGCCGGAAAAAAAGAGGGCCATATTCCTCTGAATGATGAGACCATCAAAACTGTCCCGAACCTTGCGGTGGCTGTCCCTGATGCTCCTAGGCACCCCCTGCCAAATCATCTTCCTCCCATTTCCACCTACCTCTAAACTGTAGCTATAATTCTTTGCCTCATTATCATCACCCATAAACCGCAAAAAGGCTATGTAGACAGGAGCCATTCCTAGCTGAAAAGCTTCAAAATGTAGACAAAAATACTGACCAAAGCAGCTGAAGACCTAGAAACCAATGTGAAATGCATGAGTCAGCTACAATCCAATTTCTGTCCAGAAATTAAAAGAGACTGCATATAAGATTATCATTGGACAGAAACCTAAGGAGGCATAGATGCAAAATGGTAAATCAATAATCCCCTGAGGATACAAATTTAAAATAACAATCCCGTAGTTTCCAAGATGTTCCAGTATTTATAATATTGGATTTTGTTGTTTAAGCAAATGAAGAAAGTTACAAGGTTTGCTAAATCACTATACTCATTAACTAACGAAGACAGAAAAGTAGATCCAAACACATGCCAAATTTACACATTCAACAAAATACCAACAGTATAGTTTAGTCACTACAGAGTCAGTAGAAGGTAGGTAGAACAAAGTTCAGCAAAATAATACCGTCAACATCCAAGTGGCATTTTCAACTTCTTGTGGATTTGATTTGACATAGCGATGGTTAAAAGTGCTACCATTGTGCATGTCCACTTTGTGGTCGTCTTTCAGATGAGCCACCAGGTAGGGTATATCACCCATAATAGAGCATTCTGAACCAGCATATGGGCAGTTGTAAGGTCTATATGCACATTGTGATTCATGTTTTAGCTTGCTGTAATATGGATATATACCAATGCACCCAAAACCTTGATATTTACAGGGAAGTTCCAAAGATGCAGCCACTTTCTCCAATGCCAGGCATCTGATATTGCCAAGCTCATGCCTACAAGTAGGGCACCGGTTATGGACCCTGGGTTTGCAACCAGAGCATATTGTGTGACCATTTGAACACTGCAATAGTGACAGAGGAAAACAAGTCAACTAAATTTCAGAAGAAAAATTATTTTTGAAACCAGCAATAAGGAAATAATTATCTAAACCCAGTTTCATTTAGAAAATTTGACTGAGTTCTTGCTAGAAAAAGTCCAACATTCTCAGAATAGATCAGATAGGCCAGCCAAGGGAGAATTACTTGTGAATGAGGAACTCAACATCCTTAAACCCAGTTTTTTGTATATGGCACACCACAAAAAACCATTATTTTAGTTAAACTACAATTAGAACGAGAATTGCCTTTTTATTTTTGTTCAATCTTGCTAAAAAGCAGCAATACCATTCCATGAACCCAGTACTGGTCGATATCACTTTGTGACTAATTTATCAAATTGAAATACAAATTATCACAACCTGATGGATTGGAGGGTACATTGCATTCAAGCATACAGGGCACTCTAAGAGCTCACGAACACTGCTTGAAACAGTACCATTAGGTTTAAGTGCAGGATCATTTATGAATTCACCAACATCTGTTGACTCTTCATTTTGAGGAGGATCAACATCAACTTTGCTCCGTATATCATCAAAGAATAGATTACTTGATGTCATGCTAGCAAAAGCAATCACTAGCTGCCCTGTGAGTGGGAAAAAATCATTATAATCAATCACAAAGTTAAGAACTAAATTCCACAAATACTTTGTTTTACTTTCACCAAACAGTTATAACATAGCAGAATGAGTTAACCTATTGAGTCACATATCCAGTTTATTCAAACAACATAGAAAATAAAAGCCTTATCCCATGATGTGGACTATAGATGGATCAAACGACATAATATTCTATTTTGAATAATATCTATAGACAAAGAACTGACAACCATATTATCTTCCTAGGGTGAATCTATCACCCTGCCCTAATGCTTCATTGAGAGGATGGTAAGTTTGCATCATGGCATCCATCAAACCCAGTTTTAAAACAAATTTACAAACTCAATGGCTTACGAAAGCAAACAGAACACATCAAGCAGCCAAAAACATATGATTTGTCATTGAAAATACATTCCAAGAAATAAATAGTCCTCAAATTCACTTTTATATTGAACAATTGGAAATTTCTAATCCTGAAAAATGTAATTACCATAGAGCAATATGAACAGTTTGCCCAAAAGGTAAACAATTTTCAAATACTAACATTCCACAAGACAAAGATCGTTACTCATTAACATTTCAAATGCTGAAAAGTTAACACAATCATTTCAAAATATTCTTCTAGTTAATTATTTATGGATTCAGATCCATTTATGCTACCCTTATCACGTAAATAATATCATCACTAGATGTTGGAGTCAGCTACATGGATAAAAATAAGGCCATTGTGTTTTGTCAACAATCAAAATTTTAGGCAAGACCATTTAAATAAAGGTCTTTATTAGTTGCTTTGCATAATGTCTTCTTTGATCTCCAACCTCTATTTATCAGGCTATTCCTTGTGTAAGTAGAAATATACCTTGGTAATAAAATGAAATTTACACTTCCATATGAACAGGACAACGAATCTTTGTACGTTTACATATGTTATAAATACAAGTTTGTATATTAAAAGAGAAAGAATCAACAAAATAAGTAGAAGAAAAGGTAAAAAAAAACTTTTTGTCATTCAAGGTGAGTGGTCCGCACCACCACTTTCTAAGATTGTGGTACCCAGATTGAGTAAAAACATCTTGTATCAGGCCATGTATTAACCTTTTTCATCAGAAGATTTAAATATGTAATGCCCACAAGACTAAGAAGAAGAGGAAACCACATAAACTTGTCAAAGTGAAATTACAGGGAGACGAACAACACATTGGCAGAATTGGCAATTCAAATGAAGCCTTCAATACACGTAGCAGAGCTCAATATCAATTGACCAAAAGAAATGACAGTGTGAATTTATGCACTACGAAAATTTGATGCATAGCTGTGTTAGATCAGAAAGAAACATAAAGAAAGTTTATTAACAACCAGGTCATAGGTGGAACTTTCTAGCCATGGGTCGTTGAACTGGTTTCATAGTCACAAGGTGGCAACTATAAAATGACAAAAAGCAAATACACTATTAAAATTTTTCCCCATCTCAAACATTAGCTTTCTAAGATGAACTTTTAATTGCTAAACCAATCCAAATTTTGTATCTTCATTGATGAAAGAAATCACACGGAGATGTCCTACATACTCGATCTCAGATACTAAAAAACACGCACCCTGTAAAAGTAGTAATGATTTGGTATTCTAACCAAATTATTACTATTCTCCAAGTGAGACAAATCTCCTAAGATGATAGTTCTACTATATGTTTGAGGTATGATAATGGTGGAAATTCTATCCAATCACGAACAAGGTCTCTCTCTCTCTCTATATATATATATATATTAGGCAGCTGATGATCTCACTCAAATACAAGTAACTGCCAAAGAAATAAGTTGTTTTCATCTTGAGGGTTTTCCATTATTTTGCAGTTTTTAAGAAGGTCATAGAACCTCTAGAAGCTAACTTCTCCAATGATCGCTCAAGGAATACCTTGGGTTTGATCCGAGAAAGCGTTTCTGATAACCTTGGGCTTAGCCCAAATCAAAAACAGTTTGTTTGCTTTTGCAGTGCCACTCAGCATTTTATAGAAGGAAGAGGAACTTCCTTTGAAACATAGTGCATTAGGAAGCAGGAAATTCAGCGTTGCAGCAATGAAATGGTACCCAACCACCATCAGAATTCATAACCAAACCACTAGCAATCAAATTATAATAACTCCACCAAAATAACACACAACTAGACTGAGCTTCCAACAATGTCGTGGGTGTTTTCCCACGAAAACCAACACATACACATCAAACCTTATATACTAAAGAATCATAAGTGTTGGTAGCAAAGCCAAGACCAACAACACACATGCACGAACACTAACAATCTGAGACACTTATTTGAAAGATTCACAATTTCATATATTCTAAGACACCCAATTGAGCAAGCAGAGAGAGGTAACAACCTCGGCAATCCGAAAGCAAATCAAACACAAACCTTAAACAGAACAAACTGTTCCATTCATTAACACAATCAAAACCCTAACCTCAACCAACAAATTCACAATATTACAAACCGAATTCACCACAGATCTACAACCAACACAAACAAAAATCCCAGAAGAAACACAACCAAAAAAGAAAAGAAAACGTAACACCTCCCCCAAATAAAAATATAATAATAATAGAACCCCAGAAGTGGAGAAACTAAAATCAAGTTGAAAAGAGACCTGGAATGATGGTTTGATCAAACGGGCATTAGAGAAGAAAATGAATGAAACCAAGGAGAGAGTAAAAGGTTTTGGCCTTGGTAGGTTTTATAGCAAACTGTGATAAATGAAAAATAAAATAAAAATAAAATAAAATTGCGCGTCTGCAAGTTGATCAAAATTTTCAAATTAAAGGGAGAAGAGCGTAGGTGAGAATGAAGAGAGACAGAAAGTTGTCGGAAAAATACAAAAATTAAAGAAAGAAAAGGTTTAAGAAAAAGTAGGACCCACCAATTCCTTGATTTCCTCTCTTACCTTTTCTCGTTGTGTTTTACATTTGAATTTTCGCCCTTCATCTTTTTCACACCTATTTTTCTTTACCAAAAAATAATGAACGCGTACCTAATCTAATTTACCAAAATATTTATATACGTAAATTTAATTTAAATTTTTAAAATAAAAATTATTGAATAATTAATCACGGTATTTACTCTTTTATAAACAAATTTATTCTAGAATTTACTTTATTTATATTTAATGAATAAATTAGATTGAGATTCGAAAATATTATTTTGAAAAAAATTGATTGAAAATTATATATTATTTTTCATGTATTTTTAAATACGCATGACAATAGGAGACGGATTTTACCTCCTCCATTTCTGTTGTGATATTTTTTACGATTTCACTCCCCTTTTTAATCTTTTTCCTTAAAAATTAAGTTGTGATCTCCGGTTTTGTTAGATTTCATTTTTATCCCCTATTCGATCTATATTATTTTTTAAAAGATAATTATATTTATAATAAATTAATTTTATTATATATTTTATATATATAAATAAATATTTATAATTTTATAATTATTATTAATTAAATATACATTTTAATTTATTATATTTAAAAGTTTTAAATATCTTATAATTAGATTTTTATGGATTTATATTTTTTAATGATACAAAATTTAAATAAAAATTAAGGATAATGCTTTTTTTTTCTCAATCTTTTAACAGTTATTCAACGTATTGAATAATAAATAATTGTTCCCAAGCTGATCTAAATCAAATGAATTAAGATTTGGCATTGTGAGTGTTGACAAAAAAGATAACAATTGCAATAAATGGCCCTCCATGACTAAGTCTGCATGTATGACAAATGTTACAATCTTTCTCACACTAACACCAAAAATAAAGATATTTATTTTTAGAATATTTAGAAAATTCATGTTAAATGTTATTATTTTTTTATTAAATAATAGTATATCCTAATTCACTTTTAAAAAATATTTTATTAACTATAGTCTTTCTATTCCATTGTAAAAAACGACAGTAAAAACCTAATATAATAATTATACAAATATTCCAAAGAATATTTTGTAAAAGTATATAATAATTCTGTTAAATGGATTTTTTTATTATACTTGATTCTAATGCAGTCTTTAATGTCAAAATATTCTTATAAAGATTTTTTTTATATATAAAGAAATAAATATACACATTCTTCATAATAATAATAATAATAATAATAATAATAATAATAATAATAATAATAATAATAATATTTTTTTCTTAAAAAAAAAGCTTCAATTCGATTTTATATAATTTTTTTCTTTACAGTTAATAATCTAGCTAATCTGGCCCATTAAGATTCTCTATTTTTGGTGAGATTTATAAAATATTTCCATTATTTTATAATACAAATTTTTATATAACCATTTCAATGGTAATGTCAACAAATTCTTATAAAGATGGTTTATTTTCTAAAAACATAAGTAGTTTTTATTAGTAAATATTTAGTAACTTAAGGTTATATATATATATATATATATATATATATATATATATATATATATAATTTAAATAAAGCATAAATACTAACACAATATATATTTTAAATATATTATATCAAAATAAATAATTTTATTACATATATCACTTTAAATGACAGGGAATACATTCTACTACTACTACTACTAATAATAATAATAATAATAATAATAAAGCATTTTAATTTTCTCTCTCGAAAGTTAAAAGATAATTAGTAATTTAAGATGACATTTTTAGATCAAAATATTGATGGTTTTTTTAAGTAATAAAAAATAAACTTAACTAACTAAATTTTTTTGCTAAAAGAAGAGTATATTTAAAATATTTAAAGAGAGTTTTTAATAAGAATGACTTAGGAAGAATATCTTTAAAGAGAATCTTTAGCAAAGTTGTTTAAGAATAAAATTAAATATTTATTATGGATTTCACAATTGAATGGTTTAAAACCCCACAGTTGAATTGTTTAAAGCATTTCCAAACGGAGTTGCTTAAAAATAAAAGTAAATATTTTATTGTGAGTCTCATATTTAAGTTGCTTAAAATTAGAAGAAAATTATTTATATAAACAACTATGACTAAGTTTTAAGTAACGTGAAATTCATAATAAAATATTCAATTTTATTCCTAAGAACCTCTTGTTAAAAACTCCCTTTAAATAATTACTTAAAATTTGGTTAGAGTTGTTTATACAAGTAATTTTTTTATTTATTTTAAGCAACTTTTTCACTTTTAAACAACTCAAATATGTGATCCATAATAAAATATTCACTTTTATTCTTTTTTTTTCAATTTTAAACAACTTTCTCCACTTTTAAACGACTCAACTGTGGAATCCATAATAAAATATTCACTTTTATTCCTAAATAACTATTTGTAACAACTCCCTTTGGAGATACTATAAAATTGGTCCTTCTCAAATCTAATTATATCATAATTAATCTTAAATACATAAATAATTAAAATTACAAACATAAAGTTAGTGAGAGAAAAAAGTATTTACAATCATTAAATACTTATTTATTTTAAATTTTTAAGTATTTATGTTAAAATATTTTAAATGTTTAGATAGTATTAGCGACCAACATTTCATTTATAATTATTTTGTTTTAAATTAGTCTCTAAAATTAACAACTAATATTATTAAATAAAATAAATACTTAGTTACTAAAGTAGTTTGCTACTATTGTTTTATTTTTACCATTAGATTAGCGACTAAAATATTTTAGCGCTAAATTAATCACTAGAATTTTTATGACTAAACAAAGGGAACAAAGAGAGACAAATATTGCTAGTGGTTTTAGTGAAAAGTCCACCACTAGTCCTTCTTTTCTACAACTTCAAATTAACCGTTATTTCTGTTGCAAATAAATTAAATCATAATTAATCTCAAGCACAAATACTTATAATTTCTAATATATTATATCATATCATTACCAATTATATCTATTTTATTTGTATTAAATTTAACAAATCATTCATTCTCTTATTCAAATATTAAATCATATAAAGATTCAACTACATGCCTAATTTTCCAATATGGTAAAAAATGGACCGGGTGAATTTATATATGTATATATTGAAATTAAAATGTTAGAAATACTTAATTATAAAAGTTTGATGAAAAATTTTGTAGGTGATAAAACTTAAGAAAATTGTCATTTTGTACATGTTTAGAAACAACAAGCAATATGAGGGACCAATGTACCCATTCACTTTCTTCCTTCCATTCTCCTCTTTCTTTCTCTCATAAAACCTTCCTTTGTTTTGCGTGCTGAGTTTCTTTGGAAATGAAATCTTTTCCTTTCTGTCATTGGTGCTGAGTTTCTTTGACAATGCATTATTGCTTTGCATGTAGCTGTTCACCAGAAGAAGACACAAAACGTGTTAACATGTACCAGTATTCTTATAATTTGAGTACTCTCAATGAACATTCAAATACATACTACATGTGTTAGGGGGATTTCAGCAATTTTATCAAATTTTTTTTTCTTGATACTAATTATGGAACCTATTTTGATCCATAATTATATACATTATTACATGCATTCATTAAATTTCATGATCAACTAAATCCAAACTTGTAATATTTCATAACCAATTGAATCCAAGCATGTGACTAATAACTCATGTTTATACTTTTATAAAACTTACGATAAAAAGATGGACACTCTTAAATTTGATATTTATATGTACAAATACCAATAAAAATATCATAAGTCCATATTTTTAAATAAATTTTATAAAATTACAAAGACGAGTCAATAGTAACATGTTTGGATTTAATTGTTCATAAAATTTTACACGATTAAATTTAACTAATCATGAAATAACGATGAATCATAATAGATCCAACAACACAATACATGAATGAATATCAAGAAAATATGTAACATTGGTAAAATTTACTGTCAAATCCACTACCACATGTAACCCTCTCCATAGATTACAATAACTCCCAACAACAATAATAAAACATAAAATAATGACACAAAATGTTAATAAATTTAGCAATACATGCATATACCTTGATGCAATCACAAATAGCAATTGATTCAATTTGTTGCTACCTCCTTCAATGGAGCTTTTCCTCTTACCTGTATCCACAATGACACAGTTTAGAAGATGGAAAATGAGAAACAACATTGTGAGTGAGATCTACGCAACCCTATTTTCTTGATGGATAATAAATGTTGTCAAATTTCAGAGAACAAAGTAACTATTGCACACTCTTTTTTACTATTCTATAAAATGAATGAACAGTGTTCTCTTAATATATAGTTAATTATATACCTTCACGGAAATTGTTACAAATAAACATATCTTAAATGAAAAATAAAATAAAATTAAGTGATCAACATATAAAACAATTTTCCATACATAAATTATAGATCCATACCAAGTTCTTCAAACAGATACAGATCTTGGTATAATCTAGCAAGGCATCAATATTAACTATGGGATCTAAGCATGTTATGACCCAAAGTTCACTTATCATTTGCCAGAACATTCAGATAAATTAGATGAATTTTTTATTTGAAACAAATGGATGATATCCGAAGAAGAATTTGTAAAAGATCTACAGAATCATCCAAAACTTTATAGAAAATAATTGAAGACAGTGAACGAGAACAATGTGAGAAGAGTAAACATACTCACAATTGCACAGAATAAAAGTAAAAGACGAGAATATGAAAAGGTGAAGACGAAGGAGGCGGATGCGCCGAGAACGAGAGCATGAGGTGAGACTATTAGGTTAATGTGCGTCGGAATTTATACACGAGCATTCCCTGTGATATGTGGGTCCATCTTCTGATTTTTGTGGTTGGTAAATTTATTATTAATTTTTTGTCTTAAATAATTATATATATACATAAATATATTAACATTTTTTTAATTTGATTTTTTATAAATTAATATAAAAGTAATAAAATTTTATTTAATAAAACATTATATCTTGTATTAAAATAAATTTTAAAATCTTTAAGATGATTTAATTTTTATACAAATATTGATATATGTATAAGCCTTTTTGTGACAATAACTAGCTTTTTCAACCCCTTATTCAAGTTGCTTGATAAATTTTATAAACCATATAAAAAATGTAATGCGAAAGTAAAAACTTTATTATAAAGTGATTTGAAGGGAATGGGAGACATGTTTCCTTATCCTCATACTCTTCTATATGTTCTAGAAACAATAGTTACCAAACCATTCAATTGAAACGACCAACAACCAAGACGCATTAAATTTAATATTAACTATTATTATTATTATTATTATTATTATTATTATTATTATTATTATTTAGTGCCTGTATTAATGTTTTACATGATTAATAATACTGTTAATTTATATTATTCATAATTAGCTTTAATATATATAACTCACTGTGATATTTATATTATTAATCAATTCTATTATTTTCTTACCCATATTACTATTATAATTAGTAATATTAGTTTTTATCATCTTTTCTAAAACAATAAGTTATTGGTTTTAAAACTACGTTATAGATGAGTTTATCATAATTCTTGTTATTTAAAGTGATAAAGAACAACATTATAAATATAATTAGAAAATAAAACATTTTATTATTTATTTAAAAAATTAACAATGTAAGAATCCTAACACTTGTATGTAATAAACTCCAATAGTTTATTTGAATATATTTTAGCTAATACAATCTCTTGCTTTTTCTTCCTCTTTTATAATGAGAATATGCTTTTCGGAACAAGCCAAAATTTAGCCTAGAATGCAGTGTGTATTATAGAATATGATTTGGTGTTGTATTTTTCTTATACTATGAACTACATATATAGTTTTTAATAAAGTGTAAGTTAAACTAACTAATATTTTAATAAAAATAATATAATTTGAAATAACAGAAGATACACATACCAAGGTACATGAATGTTGTGTGTCATGCAATAGTCAATTTAACACAGTTTTCTGTTTTTTGTGTTGGAGTTCTCTTTGAAATCATTTTACCTCTCTGATCCATACCCGCATGCACTGGTTACATTTTTTGTTGAATTAAATCAAACCACGTGAGAAATGGTTTCTGCATAGTTCTGTCCAACCTAACGGAAAAGGATGAACTAATAAGCACCACCCCGCAGCTTTAAACATATACTTTTATGTTTATTTACAATTCTTAAATCATATATTTTGTTTCTCTCATCTCTAAAATATTGCAGATACAATAATTATATATATATATATATATATATATATATATATATATATATATATATATATATATATATACATAAAAATGAAACTATTTCAAATGTAACTGAGGCGCTATAGCTGTGTTGGGATTCCTATGAATTTTACTTCAAGTAGTATATTCTTATTTTCGTCTTCTTTTGTTTTTCACCTATATAATATAAGATTTTGTTACTATATATGTATGATGGTGATAGGATTTATGATACCGATGATGTGAGTGATGTTGTTACCTCAACATTAATGATAGTTCTCTTCCAGATTGTCTAATAATTTAGGCTTAAATTTGTTGTGATTTTCTTTTTAATTGTGCATTGAATCAATTGCTTTGTGTAGTAATGCAGAGGCACTTGTAATATATTATGTGACATTCAAGTTATTATAACACGTAAATTGAAAATGGACGTACAAAACATGAAATACAAGTTATTAAGAAAAGAAGACAGAGAGGGAAACTTTTCAACACTAAATTAACAGTATTATTCATCACGTAAAGTTTCCTCGGCCTCCAGTGTCAATCCTACCCACAAAAACAGTATCAAAATGGAGATGGGTATGAGGAGGAGTATCTTCGGTGGCGGTGGCAGCGGCGGCAACAGCGGTGGCATCACAAGTATCGTGAACTCGATCACAACCAAGCAGAAAATGCAAAACATTGTCAGATACCTCATATTGCTTTGCTGAATCAGATGAGAGTGACAGAAAATGAAAATTTGGTGTTTGAAATAGAATTTGTGCCTCAATTTATAGACCACCATGTATGCGTGGAGTGCAAAATGGGAGGTTAAAGTTATGGTGATGGCAAAATCTGTTTTCAACTGCAATGTACATCAACTATAGTTAGATTGATAAATGATAATGGTGACATAACGTTCTCCTTCTTTATTTCTCTCAAAAGCTTTCTTTGTTTTGGGAGCATAGGTTCTTTGGAACATGCCATTGCATGCATCAATCAATTTCTGACGTGAGAGGGTGCGAGAAGGTTTACAAGTGTAGTTTATGGTTACTTCGTGTGTTGCGTGCATTGGTGAGATTTAATACCCATTTATTGTGAACTTCAAACATCACAACCATCAACCTTTGACACCATTGCTTTCCCATAAATATTGGATTGTTGATGTTCCAAGAGAGATATCCCACAACTTTTATTTTACTACAAACAATTTTTTTAAACTTACATTTAAAAAAGTTTTAGCCGAATTTGAATCTTATCTTTATATCCTTATATGTCTGGCATGTACACATATATATGTTAACATTGGACGAATCAAATTCTCGTGCATTTTATTATTTGGATGGATGGGTATCCAAAAAGCTACTCTGGGTTAATAGTGCATTAAAATCCACCTTTATGTCTGTCATGAAGACAACTCACAGTAATGCAGGAACCCTTATTGATCATAGTATTTTGTCTTACCAATGCAATTCAAATTCTATAAGAGACACTCACGCTTTAGAGAGACTGAAAATGAAAAATTAATATATTTATTTTAAATTAAAAATTTAAATATTTATAATACATAGATTTTTTTAATATGCATGTTGTCTTCAATAAGACCTTTGAAATCTATAAACCCCACATTACTTTTTTTCTGTCTTGGATAACGACGTTTCGAAGAAAAAATTTATCATTTTAAAACTAAAGGGAATATGTTGTAAGACAATTTTTTAAGAGACAGAATTATGATTTTTAGAGAAAAATAGTGAACTAACAATGAATAAATAAATATTTTAAGAGACATAGAGATGTTATATTGTGGTAAGTATTATTGAGTGTGTATTTGATTTATATTGGATTCTAAACTCGTCCAAGACATTTCATCTTTCAAAATTTTATATATTCAAGAATTATGATTCTTTCTAGGCATGTCCGAAATTTATATAAAACTTTCAACACCTTGCTAAAAAAAACCTAGATCAATGTTTTAATCTATCTTCTTAAAAAAAAAACCTAGATCAACGTTTTAATCTATCTTCTTAAAAAATATTTGCAGTGACAGAAGCTATAAAAAGCAATTGTCTTGTGAGACAAAAAATTATAGGTTCGAGTAAAGGAAAGTAACTGTATATAATTATTGTGACAAATATTGCAACACCACTTTTTCAAATTGAATATCAAATGCACAATAAAAAAAAAATTAATGTAACATAAGTTATCCAACTAGAACATTGGATTAAGACTTAGAAAAGGTTATATATCATATATAATTATCATAATTAAGTAAATAAATTTCAAGGTTTCCATACAAAGAAAACATGATTATGGTAATCTAGAATATAGCCCAATATAAAAATTTTGAATTGGGAAATGATGTTAAAGCTGTAATTGGGACCACTTCTAGATCCAATATCAAATGCACATTGAAAACTGTCTTATCATAATTTAAAAGAATGTTATTCTTTTAAAAATTGACTAAATCTAAAATAATTATTCTCTATTTTATTTTATAACCTGTCTCCTTTATTCTCCTTGGCTATAAATTGTGGTACAATGTGCGTTATTTACTTTTCCTCATATCCGTGATGAGTTCGTTTTCCACTGTTTTCCACATAATCTTATCTATGATGACTTTGTTTTTTATTATTCTTCACAAAGGTTAGGTATGATACTATGATGTGGATTATAATATTAGTGTTGGAATTTTCAGTTCTTTACTTGAAGAACTTAGTCCACCACCAGTGTTTAAAGGTTTCTCTTCCACCACCTTTAGTTCTCCATCACCTCTTTATTTCTCCATTACCTCTGTTATCATAGGTGGTATTTCTGTTTGTAAATCTTTTTTATCTGTTTATGTACTTATGTTTTTTTCCTTAGAGAAAATAGGAGTGAGATTATAACCATTTGTATTGAAATTTGGGATGTGCATGAAACTATTTCATAATATAAACGATAGACCTATGGAAACCTATTTGCAATATCTATCTCTTCAAATAAATACAGAATAAAGAGTAAACTAAATGAATTTTAAAAGTGGATATAATTGATTTCAAATTGTTGCTGTAAATAATACCAACGCATAATTATTGTACCAATATTTTACATTTTAATATTTTTAATTTTGCATGTCTATTATGGTAAGTATCCTATCCTTATAATTTATTTAAGTATTTTATTTTTTGCTTAATATTAAGTATTGAAATTTTGTCTTCTAACATTATATTATAGATTCTGAATTAAAGTTTCTGAGCCTTTTTTGTTTTGCGTAGTGTGCTTCATTGTACTTTCTCTTTCAATCATTTTACATGCATTGGTCACAAATGGTTTCGTTTAAAAAAAATAAAAATAAATAATGCTAAAAAGTAAGTATGCTGAGTTTCTTTATTGTGATCCGTAGGGTGATAATATTTTAATATATATTGTTGGTTTCAAAACATAGATTGTTTTTCTTTTTCAATATTTTTAATTTGATCACTTTATTTGTTTTTTCAATTAATATTTTTGCTTTAATCACCTCCCGTCATGTTTCATTTACTGTATACTTATCTCATTACATACGTTATTTCAAAATATAATCGAAAATTTTATATGAAGGACTACCCTCAAATCCATATCAAGGAAAAAGAAAAAAGAAAAAGAAACCCTCAGAGAGAAAAAGCAACGGAAAACGCTCATTCCCTAGCATGAAATGTGCAATATGAAGGACTACAATTATGAAAATATATTGTTTATGGAATTAATACTTTCCATGTCAAGTGACAACAAAACATTAATACTTTTCATGTCAGTTTTCTTATGTAAAGCTATGGTCATCATAAGAAGAACACAAAAGGAATTTAAGTACACCCTGCAAAGCACAACCATATAAATTAACCGACAAATTAAGTCATTAAAAAAATTATAATATATTAAATTGAGAGTAAGATGAGGGTTTTTTTAGATAGAGAAGTACATTACATAAGTGTTAAGTCATTAATATGTAATATGTTAGATATATTGATAATAAGAATAATTTTTTTTGCATGTAAAATATTATTAATAAGATCATTAAACTCCAATACAATTAAGGGTTTGTATGGAGAGATGCACGGTAACACTTCTGAAATGTGAATAGATAGAAAAGACAATAAGATACCTCTCATATAGGTTGCAGTGGTACCAACCTAGTTTTGCAGTGGTACTAAACACAGTTTTTTGTAGTTTCTTTATAGCATGACAACTTTTTACGATGACAAATAATAAAACTTTCTTTTGTTTAGCGAGCAGAGGTTCTTGGGAACATCATTGCATGCATCATTCAATTTCTGATGTGAGAGAGGATGCGAGAAGGTTTACAAGTGTATTTTATGATTATTTCATGTGTTGCATGCATTTGTGAGATTTAAACCCATTTCTTCTCAATTTCAAACATCACAACTATCAACCCTTCATACATAGATTTGCTCAATACACACCAATCAAACTCTCACGTACTTTATTTCCATATTCACAAGAAAACAAATATATGACACATAATTACTTTAAGTATTATTGTCTACCACTTTTTTCCACCACACCTTACTTTTATCTGTGTTTTCGATTTAAAAAAAAATAAATCATTCCAAAACTAAAATATGCTAAAGTTGTTGTATGTTTATGATCTTCCATGAAACGACGATAATTAACATGGAAAGTCCGAATATAGCTGGTTGAGGATAATATATTTTTGTTGTTATTTTATTTGTATTTATTCAATGAAACACAAAAACCATTTATGACCAATGCATGTAGAATGAATGAAAAAGAATCCAAAAAAAGTGTAAAATAACCTGAAATGTCATGCACTATATATGACACAGACTAAATACAAAGAAGGTACAAACCATAACCATGTTCACCATGCAAAACAAAAAAGTTAAGAAACTTAACTATGCTTCGTGAATTGTAAACAAAATTAAAATAAATTCAATTATCATAATTATGACATAAATTTAATTAAAATAAAATTTTAAAACATTGATCATGTAAATACTTTGTAAATTCAATATATGTTTTTTTTTTTAACAAATAAATTCAATATATGTTTTTTTTTAACAAATGTGTGTTATTTTGATATTTACAGGAAATTAAAAGGTAAATAAATAAATTAATTATATGACAAAGAGGATAATGTTATGTCACCATTGTTATTATTTATCAATCTAACTAGTTTATGTTGTCATCACCATAACTTTAATAATAATAATAATAATAATAATTTATTATTAATTATTTTTATTACATAATAATAATAATTGTTATTACATCTATAGCATTGTGTTTTAAGGGATTCTTTTAGTATTTTTTATTTTTATCAATTAGGCCTTTTTAGTGAAATTTTTTAATAAAATATATTATTTTAATGAGGTCTATTTTGACATAATTATGGGATTCATATTTATTTTTAAGATCATCTCTAATTAATTTATTTATTGAAATGTTTAAATAAAATATTAAAATTTTAAAGTAGTTTTTGATGAAATGTTAAAATGTTTAAAATTTTATTTATTATTTCATCAAATAACTAACTTATCAAAATCAATAGTAAGTTGTTTCAAAGTTATTTTGAGTTTTTGTAAACAACTCTCGTTACAAATTTTATAAAAGAATAGTATTATTTATCAAATAAAATATAATTACTTTTATTATATTATTGACAAAAAAAGAAAAAAATAATATAAAAATAATTATTATGATATTATATATTAAAGAAGAAAAAATAAAAAAATATACATATAATAATTTAAAATTTACAATGATATTTTAAAATATAATATATTAAATTATAATAATTTTAGATAATTTAAATATATTTAATAAAAAGTCATTTATATATTTGATAAAAAAACTAAAATAATTTTTTTTATGCCGTAGTTATAAAACATTATATTATATATTTACAGTCAACATAATAATATTATAAATATTATCTAATAAATACCAAATATTATTATTTATCTTCACAAAAATTTATTTTCTTTGTAATAATTTGA